GCTGAGGAATCGAACCCAGGGCCTCACACATGCAAGGCAAGCACTCTACCACTTAGCCACCTTCCCAGCCCTCTCATGTATTTTAAGAGAATAACAAGAATTTTGATCATAAATAGGGATGGTTGAATAATTTTTCTTATCTAAATAAAAGATAAATAATGGGTAAATACACCCTACTGTAAAGAAAACAATTATATGCTGGGCATCTGTGGCTCATGCCTATAATCCTAATTTCTCAGGAGGCTGAGATTTGAGGATCACAGTTCAAAACCAGCCTGGGCAAGAAAGTTCATAAGATTCTTATCTCTAATTAACCACCAGAAAACCAGAAGTGGTTCCATGGCTCAAAGTGGTAGAGTGCTAGCTTTGAGCTCAGAGACAGCGCCCAGGCCCTGAGTTCTAGCCTAGAATTGGCAAAAAAAGAAAAAAAAAAGAAAAAAAAGAAAAAGTTGTTGTATTGTTTGGGGAATAATGACAAGGGAAAAAAGTCTACACATGTTCAGTGTAGATGAAATACTTTATTTTTTGAGTATTTCCATTTGTGTTAACTCTGATGATGCAGAACTCTCCAAGATGCACATCTACTTGTATATTCATATGTACATATTCATAAAAACAGAATAATCTAGACAAATTCCAACTATAATTGTTGGGGAAAACAAGAGGTACATTAATCCATATGAGCAGTCTTACCAATTTACCTTCTTTTAAAGTACCTTTTTTAAAAACAGAATTTTCAGATAAAAATAAAGAAAAAAATACCACTATCATTTGGGCACTGGTGGCTCACACCTGTAATCCTAGCTACTCAAGAATCTGAGATATGAGGATAGAGGTATGAAGCCAGCCCATGCAAGAAAGTCCATGAGACAATTGCCAAAAATCCCAAACAACAAAAAACAGATACAGAGCTGTGGCTCAAGTGGTAGAGTATTAGCCTTAAGCAAAAAAGCTTGAGGATAACATTGAGGCCCATAATTCAAGCCTCTAGTATAGGCCCAAATAAACATGGCTTGAATGATAAGAGCCTACAACCACATGCAAAGCTAAAATACCACCAAAACCCATTATCGCCAAAAATAAAAAGCCCACTGTCATTATAATTTCTTTATTTTGGTAGATAATCCTTTTAAGTTTCTGGGTTTGTAAATGATATATATTTTTTTGTTTTTGTTATCGTTTAATGTTTAACCCTTGGTATTTAGTCTAACAACTGATGATAAAACGAGAAAAGTGTGATCTTTGGAGAATAGAATCCAAGATTTCTAAGAAAGAACAGCTAACAATACCTTTATGTTAGAACCATGTACTTCTGCAAGAAGGATCTGTTCTGATTTAAGCCCACAGAGATCACTCAGTTGTTTTTTCAAACCTGTATACTTTTCATCCATATTTAGTCTTAGTCCATAGCGTATGGGGGTGGTACCATCTAATTTAATTACTAATAAAAAGAAAAGATCTTTTATTAGTAAAATACATGTTACAGTGAAAGTCTTTTATACAGTAATATCTAACTTGCAAACAGCAAACATTTCAGAATAAAGTTGTACTTTCTATGTAAATATTAAAACACAACTTAGGAATAATATTGAATACTTATTTGGTAATAGAAGTATATGTTGCAATGATTTAGAAGAACTTCGGGCATGTCTGGAAATAAACAGTCATCAATGAGCACAAAATAGGCCCATGTTCCCAATTTTTCAACTCTTTTTTTTTTAAATTGTGAAAATACTGTACAGAGGGGTTACAATTACAAGGGCAAGATAATGAGTACATTTCTTACCAAGCATTGTAGCCTCCTCCTTTATTTCCCCTTCCCATCCCTTCCCATCCTCGCCCCCCCCCACACACCAAAGTTGTAAAGTTTGTTTTCGACATAACATCCAATTTTTCAAATCTTAAATCATGCCTGAATATAATTCCTACATTTTAACAGGCTGACTGCTGATTTTCATGTAAAAAACTATAATTGCTAATTATGGCTGCTTGGAAAAGATAAAGAGAAAATAAAAGTTCTCAAAATTTTAAGACCCACCTGTTATTTCTAAGTGCATATAACTGTCCATTGGTAGTGGCAAAGACAAAAAATTGAAAGGGTCAAATCGGACACTTATATGTCCACATGTCTTGCACCTGACTTGGGATCTTAGCTGCCCATGGAATAAATCCACAACAATTGATCTATTTCTCCTCAGATGGTTGTCCCAGGCCTACCAAGATAAATAGATCCAAAAATTTTATTTCAAAAATTCAAAGGATAAACCACTTATATTCAAATGCCAAAACATTATCATGAAATATATTTAAATTTCAATAATATAATACTTAATCTTCATTTAAAATATAAACATTTGTGTCTATAAAGTTTTGTGGGTGTGTGTAAGTGGGTCCTAGGGCTTAAACTGAGGTCTTGGGAGCTGTCCCTGAGCTTTTGAGCTTAAGGCTAGTGCTCTACCACTTCAGCCACAACTCCACTTCCAGCTTTTTGGTGGTTTGTATTTTTTTAATTATTTTTATTATCTTTGTCAGCCATGGGGCTTGAACTCTGGGCCTGGGCACTGTCCCTAAGCTCTTCAGCTCAAGGCTAGCGCTCTACCACTTAAGACACAGCATCACTTCCAGTTTTCTGATGGTTCATTGGAAATGTGAGTCTCATAGACTTTCCTTCCCAGGCTGTCTTTTAATTGTGATCCTCAGATCTCAGCCTCCTGAGTAGCTAGGATTACAGGAATGAGCCACTGGCACCCAATTCTTGTGCCTACAAATGTCTCTGTCTCTCTCAGAGCTTAGTGTATGCTAGGCAGGTATTCTACCACTTATGCTACTCTGCCAGCCTAATAGATGCAATTCAAAGTGTATTGTTACTAAAAGAGTAGAAAAAAACAGTTATTGAATAGAATGTGTTTCTGAGTAGTCTACAAAGTATTAGGCCCAGGATCTGGAGGTGCAGCTCAGCAATAAGAGTGCTTTCCTAGTACATATGAAGTCCTGGGTTCCATCCCAACAGCACTGAGAACAAATAGATGATAAATACAAATGGAAATTCCTAATTTTTAATTTGTTCTTACCATGATAACAATGATGAGTATTAGAGATCTTTGTCCATTTAAAAGCAGATATCATGCACCTATTGATTACTGTATACCTTACTTTAGCATTTGGGGGAGCCTATTAAATTCTCCTAGAAAATTATTCCTATATACTATCCCATAGTTTTATCATGTGGAATAGCAACATTTTTCTATTTTCTTTAAGGTACTTTTGTTCTGTTATGACCATATAAGAATTAGACAGCCAGGCACCAGTGGCTCATGCCTATAATCCTAGCTACTCAGGAGGCTGAGATCTGAGAATCTTGGTTCAAAGCCAGCTCAGGGGGCTGGGATGTTGGCTCAGTGGTAGAGCGCTTGCCTTGCATGCCTGAGGCCCTGGGTTCGATTCCTCAGCACCACATAAGCAAAAAGAAAAAAGCCGGAAGTGGCACTGTGGCTCAAGTGGTAGAGCGCTAGCCTTGAGCTGAAGAGCTGAGGGACAGCACCCAGGCCCAGAGTTCAAGCCCCACAACTGACAAAAAAAAAAAGTTATTCTTTTATAATGTAATAGTAATATTTACAAGATGGCACTATTCCTAACAATGAATTGATAAGATCTCAGGTGGCAAATACCTACATCCGTGCAATAATGTAGTCAAAGATTTATGGATACAGCTTTTGGTGTAAATACTGTAGGCAAAAATTTCATACTCATGAGATATGATTTAACATTTAACTCACCATGACTCTGAAATGCCTCTTACCTCGCTATTGTATAGCCACAAGCGCATATCTTCCTCTTTGATGCGAAGCCTTTGAGATAGATACTCATGAATTTCCTTGATGGTCTGCATTCTACTAAAACAGCCTGTATAGGCTAATACTCGCTTTAGAGGTGCATTTGGAGAAGGTACATTTCCTATGGTTATAGGAATCACAATAAGGAAAAAGAAAAATATTAAAAAAAACTATCACCCAGTAACAGGGACCATACTATTTTAGGAAGTAAAGATGAGAAATGAGAATTACAGGTTTAATAATTTCATAAATGGAGAGTACTATGAAAGCATTAAAATGAAGACAAGAGATGAAGTGTCTTAAGAGCCTTAGTTTTGAAAAGAAGACCAATAAAAGCATGGAGCCTCAAATAATCAGTACATTTGGATCTCAAGAGGAGTGAAAACATGCTGACAGGGGCTGGGAAGGTGACTCAGTGGTAGAGCGCTTGCCTTGCATGCTTGAGGCCCTGGGTTCAATTCCTCAGCACCACATAAGCAAAAAAGAAAAAAGCCGGAAGTGGCGCTGTGACTCAAGCGGTAGAGTGCTAGCCTTGAGCTGAAGAGCTGAGGGACAGTGCCCAGGCCCAGAGTTCAGGCCCCACGACCGGACCCCCCCCCAAAAAAAAAACATGCTGACAAAAAAATTGACATTCACATATGGCTGTCTTCAGTTGGACTGCACTCAATAGCAAGATGAAGTAACATTTAGTAATTCAGAGTAGGGAAGATGACTGGAAATGTAGCTTATTGGTAGAGTCCTTGCCTATCATGAATGAGCTCAAAGTCCAGAACTACAAAGAAACAAACAAAAAAAAAATGACGAGATTAAATAGGACAGAATTAGACAGATAGGTAATTTGAGTTACTTAATCTACATTCTTTTTGTTGTTGTTGCTGGTCATGGGGCTTGAACTCTGGACCTGGAACCACAGCGCCACTTCTAGGTTATTTTTTCTGGTGGTTAATTGGAGATAAGAGTCTCAGGGAAGCTGGGCACTAGTGGCTCTCGCCTGTAATCCTAGCTACTCAGGAGGCTGAGATCTGGGGATCACAGTTCAAAGCCAGCCCGGGGAAGGAAAGTCCCTGAGACTCATCTCCAATAAACCACTAGAAAACCGGAAGTGGTGCTGTGGCTACAGCTCACATGGTAGAGTGCTCCACCTTGAGGTGAAGAACGCAAGGACAGCGCCCAAGCCCAGAGTTCAAGCCCCACGAGTTTCACGGACTTCCCAGCCAGGGCTGGCTTAGAACTTCAATCCTCAGCTCAGCCTGCTGAGTAGCTAGGATTACAGGCATGAGCCACCTGGGCCCTGCTTCATCTACATTCTTTTTTTTGTTTTGTTTTTGTTTTTGGGTCCAGTCGTGGGGCCTGAACTCTGGGCCTGGGCACTGTCCTTGAGCTCTTCAGCTCAAGGCCAGCACTCTATCATTTGAGCCACAGTATCACTTCCAGTTTGCTGTTGGTTAACTGGAGATAAGCCTCTCATGGACTTTCCTTGCCTGGGCTGGCTTTCAACTGTGATCCTCAGATCTCAGCCTGCTGAGTAGCTAGGATTACATGTGTGAACCACTGGCACCCAGCTGAGATATATCTCTAAATAAAGAAAATTTGCTAAATTTTGGTTAATTAAATCAAATATCTTGACAAAACCTGTAGGTTTTTATCTATGGAAAGTTATGTTTTATTGAGCAACCACAAATAAGAATGTAGTGAACAGTATAATCACTCCAGGGTACAAGTACACATTCCAGGTAGTTTTCTACCCACCCAGGAATGATTTCACTTTTTTCCCTTCCATTAAACATGGTTTTAGTGAGTCCTCACCAATTAGCAAAGATGAGAAAAATACTGGCATTATCTGATAGGCTGAAAAGGGACTGGGAAGGTAGCTCAGTGGTAGAGTGCTTGCCTCCCATGCATGAGGCCTTGGGTTCGATTCCTTAGCACCACATAAACAGAAAGAAGCCAGAAGTGGCGCTGTGGTAGAGCACTAGTCTTGAGCTGAAGAGGTGTGGGACAGCGCCCAGGCCCAGAGTTCAAACCTCACAACCAGTTAAAAGAAAAGAAAAAAAGATAGGCTGAAAAGTTATGAGAGAATTTTGGGCTGGAAATGTGGCGCTGTGGTTCAGGTGGCAGAGTGCTAGCCTTGAGCTGAAGAGGTGAGGGACAGCACCCAGGCCCAGATTTCAAGCCCCACGACCAGCAAAAAACAAAGGAAGAAAGAAAGAAAAAAAGATAGGCTGACAAGTCATTTATAAGATAATTTGGGGCTAGAAATGTGGCGTAGTGGTAAGAGTGCTTGCCTTGTATGCATGAAGCCCTGAGTTCAATTCCTCGGTACCACATAACCAGAAAAAGCCAGAAGTGGAGCTGTGGCTCAAGTGATAGGGTGCTAACCTTTAGCAAAAGAAGCGGGACAGTTCCCATGCCCTGTATTCAAGCCCCAGGACTGGCAAAAAAAAAAAAAAGATAAAGCTTTCTGTAATCTTTTTTTTTTGGTTATGGGGCTTGAACTCAGGACCTGGGCTGGTCCTTGAGCTATTTTTGCTCAAGGCTAGCGCCCTATCATTTTGAGCCACAGCTCCAATTCCCATTTTGGAGTTAATTGGAGATAAGAGCCTCAAGGATTTTCCTGCTGGCCTAGAACTGTGATCCTCAGATCTCAGCCTCCTAAGATGTGCAATTTCGACTATAGAGAAAGTTACATTTCAGTCATTACAATTGTGACAAAGTTTGTATACTTGTCACTTTAATAAATGGCTAAAGTAAATATTTGAAAGATGATGAGCATTATGCTGTGATAGGAAAAAACTCAACCATGATGAATTTTTAAGCACCATAGCAAGGCAAATCTTTTACTATCAGCAAGCAAAGAATAATCTCTAAAAGAAAACAAAAGAACAATTTTCTCTAATTATACATCAGAGGATTAGTTATAAGATTACAGCAAGAAAGCATATTTTTATAAAATTCAAAATGATTAATAATTGATTTCATAATCAATTAGTAAGGAATAAAGTTTCAAATTAACAACAAATTTGGAGTATTAGAACAACCAGTTCTAGGATTCAAAAGCATATGCAAGTGTCCAAGTCAACCTCTATTGAATAAGAAAATTTATTTGAATTCCAGACAGTTTTTACAGCAAAGCTCATTAAGCAGGCAGCCACATATACATAATTTCGTGCTTTGGAATAGCACCAGCAAATCTACAGGAATTTACAGAAGCAGCAAAAATCTAGGATCAGCACAAGAGTTACAAATACTTACTAAAAGCACAACAACGCATCTTGCCTCTCATGTTATCTTTCAAAGAGAATTAAAAAAAAAAAAAACATGCTATGGGTGCCATGGAAGCAAGGCTATACTTCTATTCAATGGAAAATTAAATTAAGAATGTTTCACAGAGATTTTTATTTCACTGCTTTTGATTTTGATAAATCCTCTAAGACAAAAATTTCATTAGGTAGAGACCACTATTTTGTTATAATTCTTACAAAAATACTTTAAATAATCTTCAAATATTATCTGACTATAAATTTGTTGGTTTTTGTTGAACTCAAGATCTGGACACTGTCCTTAAGCTTCTTTTGCTTGAGGCTAGCCCTGTATCACTTGAGCCACAGCTCTATTTCTGGTCTTTTCAGTAGTTTATTGGAGATAAAAGTCTCACAGACTTTCTGGCCCTACCTAGCTTCCAACTGCTATCTTCAGATCTCAAGTCTTCTGAGTAGTTAAGATTATAGGCAGGAGCCACCAGCTCCTGGCTGACTATAACTTTTAAGAAATAAAACTAGTATTTTCTAAATTCAAAAGTAGTTCTTGCATACTAAAAATGATTTATTATAGTAATCTGACATTGTTAATACAAGGTCTGAGACTTTGTACATATTTTAATTCATTATTTTACTGCTGACTAACAATTTCAAATATTTGTAAGAGAACAGTACAGAGTAAGTTTCTCTCAAGAGAGAAGTTAATCAAGAGCAAGTTAATAACTAAACGGAAACCTTTTGCATATCATTTTTTAAGAACGGGAATTGTGTTATATACCATTTTAATAGGTTTGGTATTACTTTCCTTGTGGGGACATGATACATATAGCACTTTCATTTTGAAAAATATACACTTGTTCTGTTATCTGTCTCTTCTAAAGCATTTAGATTGTAACAAGTATATCATGTTTTGCCAAAACAAAAAATGACATCATTGAAGGGAATCACTCCTACAAATGTAAGTGGAGTTGAAAAGACCAATCAATGACTAGGAAACTATAGTTTAGATCTAGCAACAATTTACAATGGATTTTTTTTTTTTTGTCGGTCTTGGGGTCTGACCTCTGTGCCTGGGTGCTGTCCCTCAGCTCTTCAGCTCAATGCTAGCGCTCTACCACTTGAGCCATAGTGCCACTTCCGGCTTTTTCTGCTTATGTGTTGCATGCATGGTAAGCACTCTACCACTGAACCACCTTCCCAGACCTACAATGACTTTTCATAATTAAAAAGAAATATATAAAATCTGTTTTTATTTATTATTTTCATACATTAACAACCCTTCTTGGTTAGCTGCAGAATTTTAGCTTCTATCCCCATCTAGTCTTGCGCATGACCATAGATCTAAGCCCACAAGTAATTTACTGATTCTGTATGAAAGCAGATGGGCATGTGAATTAGTACAGTGGCACCATACTTTGAGCAACTTGGTTTCACTTTTTTTTTTTTTTAACTTTTAGGGAAATGCATGGTATTCTTGCTGCATTCTTAAGTTACCTCTCGGTAAATGCTGAGGAAACATTCTCAGGCTCATCATACCCATATTCACCCAGATGTTAGACTGTTGTGTCCGAGTTGCAGGCTGCTGTCTTAGGAAGAGAAGATGTCGAGGAAACAATTCCAGCTCTGGAATGTCTGTCTTGCTATTCTTGATCACCTATGTTGTGAAAGATAAAAAGTGATCAAGGCTAAAGAATCAAACCTTGCCATTTTAATCTTAATTCTGAAAAATGTTTATTACTTTTTTTGGGGGGGGGGTCCAGTCATGGGGCCTGAACTCTGGGTCTGGGCGCTGTCCCTCAGCTCTTCAGCTCAAGGCTAGCGCTCTACCACTTGAGCCATGGTGCCACTTCCGGATTTTTTTCTTTTTGCTTATGTGGTGCTGAGGAATCGATTCCAGGGCCTCAGGCATGCAAGGCAAGCACTCTACCACTTAGCTACCTCCCCAGCCCTGTTTATTGCTTTTTGGTGGCATAGGGATTTGAACTCAGAATTGCAGCTTACTAAGCTGTCTCTAGCCCTGCTTTTTGCAGATTACTCTGGAGATGGGAGTCTTTTACCAGGATTGTGCTCAACTCTATCCTCTAGATTTCAGCATTCTCAGTAGCTAGGATTACAGGCATGAGCTACCATTGCTAGCATGAAATTGATTGATTGATTGATTGATTTTTTATTGTGAAAATACCGTAAAGAGGGGTTACAATTACATGGGCAAGATAATGAATACATTTCTTTTTTTTTTTAAATTTTTTTTTGGGTCCGGTCGTGGGGCTTGAACTCTGGGCCTGGGTGCTGTCCCTCAGCTCTTCAGCTCAAGGCTAGCACTCTACCACTTGAGCCACAGTGCCACTTCCGG